AGGGCGACTTTAGCGCTCTAATTGCGCTTTTACATCAAAGTAACTTTCGTATAGTAATTAGCCATGTCATTTTTTCCATCTATTTGGATGAAATTTTACTGGCAAATTCTCACACGTATGTAAATTAATTCTACTTGCACTTTGGTGGCGATCACGAAAAATAAATCCCCCGAAAAAGCCGGAAAGTACTCACGTTACTGTGAATACGTCCGTGCTGAGATCAAATTGGCTCACGCAGCCCATCTGCACACACCGTTCTGCTAAGTAAGAAACAGGTGAAGCAGCATCACTGTGTGAACATTAATATATAATCTAGTCCTGCACCTTGCGAGTATACTGTATTGGCGTGACACTTCCGACAGGAGTGTTACCTGGTTATGGCAAGTGACACGATAACACTCCTGTCGGAAGTGTCACGACAATACCACCTAATTTTACTGAAATTAAAACACGTCTGTGCTTGAGACGGCATCAAGTCACTATATAGTAGAGTTTTTGAATGTTGATAACGGCACAACCACTAACAATAGCGTACTTCAGTAAAGAGCTAACGTTAAGGTAGGTAAGTACTTTATTAACCAAATGAACACGAAGCTAAACTGTCCCAAACAGTTCCCACTTTTAATTAACGCTGGATAAACTTATGTGCCTGTGAGCTTTAATTGCTAAATTCAGTTAAGTTACTCTGTCGGCACTTAGTTTGTTAAGATATTTAAATAATTGCTGATAAGTTGCAAAGATGAAAGGTTGTGTAACATGGTATTAAATCAGCATTAGGTGACTGTGTGCATCTTTACAAGTTTGTGTGTGTATTTGACCTCCCTATTCTGTACCAGTAGTAATTTCACTTGTGTTCTTCTCATCCCAGCAGCAGATGGCCAGGACAGCACTTGTTGTGGGACCTACATAAAGAGGAACACCAACCCTGAACCTCCTAATGAGTAATGAACCTAAACCCTTTCTGGAGCATGTCTGCCAATACAAGTCGTAAGGTAAAGTTGCAATTATGCTTAAACATGTATGTGACACATGCTAGATATTCAGTTTCATTTTTAAAAACACAGCTCATCATACTTGAATTACCCATTAAGTTGTACTGTATGTTTAGTGTATAGTGTTTAGTATATTTATCCTGACTTGATTGGTGGAATTTGATGGATTCTTCAAAGGTCTTACAAGATCATGTATAAAGAATAAACTTGTACCACAGAGTTCTAACTTTTTTTCCCCCAAAGAATCGATCAGTTGGGTGATGTCTGTACACATCGGTCAACTTTGTATTCTTTTTGCGTGGAGTCTTGCTAAACTGGAATTGTTTAATACTCAGACGTCAACAGTGGGGTCCCCTACTAATTTTTGGAAAAGAAATTAACTTTTTAATGGGCAATGTTCTTCAAAGTATAACTGTGTGGCTAAACGATGTACATTTTGATCAATAGAATACCAATAATCATTACTTGTGGCAGTGGTTTAGTACAGTTGGCTAGTACTGGATTGAATTTCTACCAACAAAGGGAGGTAAATCTTAGCAGTTTGGTGGGGAGAAGGTGAACAATGCACTTTGAGCATGGGTGTGGATAAATTTTTTTCCTGCCTGAATAGAGCATCATTGCAAAAACATTCTGTAGTCAAGTCTGACTTCAGTGACTGTGTGCACTATTCACTACAAGCATTCCTGACATATTTGTAATGTTCATCGTGGCTTCCTGATGAATTCTTGACATGCTGCTGCATTTGATGTGTACAGCAACACTGTACTGTAACCACTCTTATTATTCTCAACAACTTCGGTAATGTGCAATGATAGAGGTCTTTGAAAGTGCTTGCTACTGTCTACACTTGGCTCTCTGATGAGCTGCAAACCAAATGGGCAATGTAACCTGAGAGGTTTTTTTTTACAGAGCACTGTCCCTTCCCTGGGCCATTGGTCTACTCTTGAATGTGCTCAGTAGTCTTCAAGACATGGCTTTTGTTTGCTTTTTCATGTGATTTGACTTTTCTACAGCTGGTGTGTTGAGTCTTGTACTTCTCATGCAAAATGCAGAGACCTGACAATGAGGAACAGAGTGGACACGGGGAGCAGAGAGCCAGCCCAGCCCGGCTGTCCTTTGGCAAAAAGCAGCTCCCACCCATTCCTAGGAATGTAGCCCCCATTACTAAGACGGCATCAATGGGCACTCCAGCCCAGACAGCCAATGGCACACATGCCTCCTATGGCCCCTTTTACTTGGAGTACTCCCTGCTGGCTGAGTTGTAAGTACTGGTCAGGTATTGGATATAAAAGTTTATTTGGTTTGCAATTCTTCCCTTTGCACTTGTTGTGTTGCATATTCTGTGTTTATTCTAAATGTTATTTTTAGGGGTGCACCGAAATTTCGGCCACCGAAAATTTTCGGCCGAAAAGGCCATTTTTATTTCGGGCCGAAATAAAAAAACACGCCGAAAA